CCCAAGCGGTTTTGGCTATACTTCTTTAACCATTTTCAAAGGGTTTGTTGTTAATTTCTTTACACGGATGGCTTTTAAGATGCGAAAAGACATTCACAACAATGGCTAGTAAGAGTGAAAGAGAATGAAAAGACTTTAGAAGAAAATGGAAATCCAATTCTAAACCGGTAACAAAAGGCAAAACACGACCGGGAAGGAGCGTGAACCGGACGATTGACGAACCTATCTACTCCTAATGAAGAGAAAAATAAATAAATAATTTGAGAGTTCAGACGGGGGCGTTAGGAGTATAGAGCTGAAGTAGACTTTAGAATGAGCTGGAAACCCAATCCTAAAGAAAAAAAACGGCAAATAAATTCCTACTCCTGTTAAAAAATACGGGAAGAAGATATATATATATATATATATATATATATATATATATATATATATATATAAGCATTTCACCCCAAGAAAGGCTAGTTCCACGTTTAGGCATTATAATCCTAGTCTTCAGCATCCAAGGGTTCAGTTCGACATTCCAACCACCTGAAGAAGGCCGGAGCGTACCACGGTCGAAACGTTGTGTTAAATATGGCGACAAAGATGAGGACAATAGTCTGAATAATGTAAATAATGTATTTAAACTAAGTTTTTAAAATCATGACGATGTGTTTGGTTTGACTTTGTTCAACATTTTGTCCTTTTTGAAACTTTTGTCTTTTTGATATGTCATAGCATCAGTCGACTTTTTTTTTCCGTTCGGCATTTTGTCTATTCGACATTTTGCTTGATATTTCATCCATTCGTCATTTTGTTTTTCGACACTTTATCCTTCGACACACAGACGTACTACCGTGTCTCTTGTCTGTTATAACAGACATTTCGAACCAATTGCCTCCAGCCAAAGTAAAAATAGGGCACATAGTCAGTAGGACTGGTTGATTTCTTTTTCACTTTTTTTTAGAAAATCAACATAGCATTCTGTGTAAAAGCTGTGGTTTGATGTGATAAAGTAGTGCCAAGATGGATTTATAGCTTTGAGCAATTTTTTGCCATTTTGTTTTAAAGATTGTCTGAAAAATGTACAGAAATAACCAATTCCCGCAGGTTTTTGCTTACAAACTGACTTCAAATTTTACTATTTCCAGAATAAATCAAAATAAAGTTAATATATTTTTTACGAGATACATTGAATGAAAAATATTTTCAAACCAGAATTTTAATTATGAATCAACACAAACGACATATGCAATATTTTTACTGTATTTGACAAGTAAAAACTGTATAAAAATTATAAAACTTTACAAAAAAAGCGACTCAGTGAATGAGATTTTTTAGATCATAATTGTTAAGAAAACGATAAACTACATCCGGCAGTAAGTCCTCTGACCGTGGAGAACCTGGAACCACCTGACCGGGTTGGTAGCACGTGTTATGGTCAAAAAAATAAAATCCGTGACGATGCAGGCCAGAGATTTGAGCAAATATATTTACCTCAAGTTGCGAAAAAAAATACCCTCTTCCGCGACGTTAGCTTCTCCGTCAGATAACTTGCGTCGTATAAAAAAAAAGTTTAAAAAAATGAGGAAAAAACATTTTCTTTATATAACCACTTCAGTGATCACGTAATAACAAGTTACGAGACCTTTTAAATATAAAAAATTCGTAAAAAGAAGGTAACAACTTTTAATGTCCAGAACAACAACCCAGGTAAGTACCTTACTCCTCCCCACTGAACCGTCAATTTTTTTTTAAAGAAACTATCATAAGAACATTTCTTAAATTTACTTTTTTTTCAGGAAAGACCTTTGAAAAAAAGTGCCCACTTGAATAAGAAACTAGTCTGTCCTACTATTTACTCATAGCCGGGGAGAAAAAGAGTTAGATTCATACCTTTCCGAAGGGTATTGGCACACAATTAAATGAACTCGACTGGAATTCAAACTGCAATCCATTACTCTCCCGTGCCTCCTAATGGATACCAGATACGGTCAATTGAAGCAAAAACTGATCGGTTGGAAAACATTTAACTAGTTCAATTTCAAATCTAAATTGCCATTTTGAAAAAAAAATTAAGAATAAATAAAATAAGAACAAAAAATGTCAGCAAAGCTTCAACAGCAGCAACAGTAAGAAAAGATAACCCTCAGTGAATGCAGTCAAGCGTGATTAGGTTTAAGGTGCCAAATTATACACTCAGGATTTTCCTATAAGAGTCTAATTCATTACAAAGTTGGTTTGTGAATTTCGTGACATAGTAATTGTGGATTCACTGCCTGCTTCAGAAATCTAAACTCAATAGAAACTGTTGAGAAAATCTCGACCCAGAAAGTAAAAAAAAAATGAGGAAAAAACTTTTCCTTTATATAACCACTTCAGTAATCACGTAATAACAAGTCACGTGACCTTGTAAGTATAAAAAAAATTGGTAAAAAGAAGGTAACAATTTTTAATGTCCAGAACAAAACCCCAGGTAACTTCTCACCTGAACCGCCAATTTTTCCACATAATAAAAACAAAAAATAGATAAAAGTGTATATAACACCATAATACTACTTGTCACAAATTATGAGACAAAATGTTTTAAAATTGTATTGTTTATTGGAAATCACGCTAAAACTACAGCACTATATAACATATTGCATGATAATATTACTGAAGGTTTTATTTGATGACAAAATGATTTATTAATAATCTGCTTGTACCATGCATCTTGCCCGTATAGAATTTATAAAGCTTCACTAACTTATAATTTTTTATAAGTCTGTGCTATAAGTCTTTCACTGATCAGCAGAATAACATTCCAACGCTACGCGTTTGAAACTTAAACTTTAAACTCATTTCCTCAAAAAACGGCAATCATTTGCCAAAATATATTTTGTGTTATTATTTATAATGTCAAACCCCAACTTACAAATTGAGTGCAACACCACACTTCCAAAATCGACGAAAATCCACCCACCCTAATGATCAGCCATTTTCGAGTGAGCGGTAAAGTTTTCCATCTGATCCTCTTGGTACGCACGTGACAAAAACCAGAAGCCTAGTAAACTAGGTCCTCCGTCAAGACGCCCTATAACATCTGCACGCCTATTCCTGGTGTTATCGTAGGGGTTTCGGTTGCGCAAATATTAGGGGACACAAGGCGCTAATTTATGTCTCCCCTCAATTTCCATCTGACACAAAATAATTAGGTCTCGTCCATTGTCTGTTATAAAATAACTTTTGCATGACACCACTGCAGTTCGTTGGCCACGTCCTGGGTTTGACGATAAACTACAACCGGCAGCAAGGCCTCTGTTCGAGATTTTCTCTTTCTCTCTCTCTCTCTCTCTCTCTCTCTCTCTCTCTCTCTTTCCCTCTCTCCATGTCTTCCTTCTTTCTTCCTTTCTTTCTTTCTTTCTTTCTTTCACTTTCTCACTGAAACCATGTATAATAAAATATTCTTAGGGACAAGCATAATTATAATAGGATTTTTGTGAGTGAATATTCCTTGGTATGACGATAGACTACATCCGGCAGCAAGGCCTCTGAACGTGGAGAACCAGGAACCACCTTTCAATTACTGTTGTTACCAGGTCCACCCTGACCGGGGTGGTAGCACATGTTAGGGTCATAGGGCAAATAGTTGTTTATAGAAGAATTTACCAACATGAAAGAACACTTTCATGACATTAATCCATTTAATATCCTACAATTTATTAAATCAAACTGTATTCCAAAATATAACTTCAGCAAAACTATAACATAAGACACACATATCGCCGCCTCTAGTAATCAGGTTCATATAAACATGTATATGCACAAAAGCTGAGTATTATCTACCATGTATTCAATGCGAAAGCAGAATAACATATAGCATATTTTTATTACTTCAAAGCCCCCAAGGAAATTAAATTTCGGCATTAAAAAAAAAAGTTGATATGCCGTTAAACAAAAAAATCAATGTTAGAATCCAACAAACCAAATTTGTGGCACTGATATCATTGATTTTTTTCAACTAACCTTTTATTACGGGCACATTTTTCGATGGTTGCCGAAGACGTGATGTCTTCACTCAAGGCGAACCTGATGCACACACGGTCAATTTAATTCAAATCTGACGCAAAAGACATATCCATGGATTTTTTGATAAGAACGATGTTTCACGTATCTCAATTTCAAATTGTTAAATAAATAGTTTCGCAGACTATTATTTTCATAGAGAAGTGTATACCTGCTCGGACATCCTGGGGTTGACTTTTGAGGTCAAATACAAGACAAAATAAAGGAAGTCGATTTTGATTGGCTGAACGTGCGTGGGAATGATAGCGATACAGAATGCGATTTCGGACAGTTGGTTCTTACACGTCGAACAATGTAGACGAGTTCCTTTCGTTTCTGGAAACTGCACCCCAGTGGAGAGGGAGAGCGATCCCCACTGAAGAGTTAAATCAACGTAAATAAAATAGCTAAGTGAAATTCCCTTTGTTGATTTTTTTATATCCAAACCAAACCAAATAGCGATCCCCCGCCGCAAGAGAAGAATGCAAGTTTATTATCGAGCGATCAGCGTCTCCCTAAGAACATCCCAACTAGGGGAGCTATACAACAAAACGTGTCGGACATGAAAGAAGCTCTTATGAAATCGTGGTACAGTTTGAGCGAAGAGATCGTGAAGTCTTACACTTCTGTTAAGAAGAGATTAAGTTCTATGATGAAGGCGAAGGGTAGCCATTTTGAATTGTTGGATCGTTATTCGGGGATTTTTGTGTAGAGACATAGCAAACTCTGTGTGTTAATTCATACCAAAATCTAAATATATTTTAGCCAATTTTATTTTATTTTTGGAGGTAATAATAATTTAGCGATTCAAGTGTTAATAATTAACCCATAGCTAAGGGGAGAAGCGGTCGACTTCTATCTTTCCCGATGGTTGTTGCGCGTAAGGGAATATAACAAAGCCAACTGAATTTGAAAATCCGCTTTCCGAGTAAAAATTCCGAGTCATTATCCATGACGACACCAGCAAATCCAAGCTTACAGTACCTGGTAGTCCAAAGCTGTTACTCATCTAGCTACTAACCAGGCCCGACGTTGCTTAACTTCAGATACCGTACGGGAACCAGTGTTTCAACGTAATGTATTCGTAAGCATTTTGGATTAATAAATATATGTAAAATATTGCTAATAAATACAGCAATCAACCAAAGATTTAATATATTTTATTTTATTTTATAATAATATGAATAATGGGTAATATGTATATGCCACGCCCAGGAGGTCTGGATATTCCACGGTGGCATCATTTTCTGTCACCTTTCGATAGTTCTGCCCATGGATTATGGAATGACAGTGTATGATTAATTTTTCAAAGAAACTCTTGTCACGATTAAGGTTGGCGTTTCCATTCTCTAGCGTTGGGATAACTATGTTTGTTTATCTACAAATTGGGATCCTAATGATACTGGTGACACGGGGCGGAGGGCAAGGATATCTGGTCAAAAACAAAATCATCTTTCCCAACGTAGCCCACTTAATAATATCGAGAATATTAAGGAATTAATGCTGTGTCTTGTCAGTTTTGGCACTTCATTAAGTGCGATTAACGAGCCGTCATGGCAACCTACTTTGTTCGCTGTGCAAATCAGTCAACATCTGATTGCAAACTGAAGTTAATCAGGAATGAGGGACAAAGGCGCGAAAAATGTCGCATGACGACGACAACGACGCTTTTACTAATGACAAAATGGCACTTAACGAAGCCATAAACAAATACAGATTTACACACACACACACATAAGTAAGCACACACACACACACACACACATATAAGTAAGCACACACACACACACGCACATACACCCATATATATTTACACATATAGAACGGTTTTTTCACATGACAAAGTCGGTCATGTAATTTGTTTACATAATTAGCTAGACTAGAAGACATCAAATGATAAGATATAAAACACATGCACAATCATATATATATATATATATATATATATATATATATACGTGTGTGTGTGTGCGCACGCGCGCACGTGTGTGCATGGTATGGTATAATGCATACACAGACATATACAATTAGATATACTTATATATATATATATATCTCAGTTATATATATCAATATATATATATATATATATATATATATATATATATATATATACAAAAATCTCATACGCCCCAGTGAGATTAAGTTTCCTGCACTCAGTGAGGGAAATCGTATAAAGATGATCTTATATCTTTTAACTCTTAAAAATAATATCGACTAACACATAAATAAGTGTATCTGTTATACATGCGTCAATCGTCTAATCATCGTCACGAAACCTGAAAACAAATATGCACATGCGCAAAACAGACCATTTTTTCCACCAAAATGTGGAAACATTTTGGCGGAAAAATGCCATGTGCATATTATGTATGTCCGAAAATTCCGTTTTTTAGCAATTTTCTGAATTTGCTTTCTCATTATTTTGTTAAATGATTTAATAATATAAAATTATTATTATTATTATTATTATTATTATTATTATTTTGATTTTGACTTTTTTATACTCTTTTTTCTCCGGATCCCAACCAGAGGCCTAAGGTCAGAAATGGCATCATGATATTTTGCCCTGAGGATTTTTTGTAAAGAACAAAAACCGAAGATCACACACATTTTACATAGATCAAGACCTTCGTAAAGCGTGAGCTGTACTTATAAGCGCAATTCTTTTATTTCTTTAAGGTTTGGGCTACCAAGAACCCCTTCATTGATAAAGCCCTTCGTAAAATGTCATCTGTACTTGT